TGCTGAACCAACTCAGCTATCTTTGTCTCATATACTTGAGATGCATCTGCAAATTGCTTCTGATATGCTGAATTTTCAAGCTGTTGCTGCTACTAACAATAAGAAGAACATAGTCACAACCCGTCCAAATATACATCAACCTCACAGTTTGGTTTCCTCTGTAGTCAACCCAAAATATAAAGAAGTCTCAAAGTTTTAGCATAAACCTCTGATACTATACTACTCACGTCAGCAAGACAGACAAATTCACAATCAGAGATAATTGCAATTCTATTTGCTTATTATTATTATTATTATTTTATTAATACTAGATTAGGAACCGTTATGCTTTAAGTCATTTATATAGACATCGTATCCACGATGCAGACCCGGAGTTCAACAGTAATTTATCTGATTCCACAGATAATTGTTCCATAGATTATATCCTGGACTACAGATGCTGGTTCATACTCAAAGAGAGTGAAAAACAGAAATTGCAAAGAGCTAAAACACAGAACAACCAAATGAACAAAGAATGTGTGTGTTTTCTATTACGTTCACGATCCAACTCTTTTCTGGCAAAACTGCTAATATCATTGATCAAACAGTCTTATAAATAGGCTGAAATCATTTTTGTTGACATAACACAGAAGAGGTGAGTAGAATAGAATGTCGATAGACTCGATAATGAAATCGGAAATCAGAGTTTGCAGAAATGAAAGACATGTTTAAAACATAATAGGAAAGAAAGTTTACCTTGGTTTGTTTCAAAGTCATCTCTAATTGTATGGCTTTGTCATGCATCAGATCATACTGATCTTTCTGCAACTGCAATTCATTTAAGAGTTTTTTGATCCGGAGTTCCAGGCGGGCATTTTCTTTCTCTAGAAACTGTAAGCCTTTCTCAATGAGTCAAACCAGAGAAGGAGCACAGAACATAATGGGAAATACATGTCCAAACAAGACTTAATGAGAGTAGAAGATCACTAGGAGGGACAACTACCTCAGACCTTGTGACTGCATTCCTTTCTGCTTCAATGAGAGCGTTTTCACACTCTCTCAACTTTTTCTGCAAATTATGTGTTTCACTAACTCTTAGTTTGTTTTGTCTTTCAACTTCTGCAGTAAGATGGTCCACTTGAGTCTCAAGCTTCCGGCATAAACTTTCATAATCAAACTCCTCTTTAAGCTTTACCATGTTTACTATTTTCATTGCCTGCGAATCAAGAAAAGATCAAAAGGCACTAATGTAAAACTCTCACACGGAAAATGACTATATTAAATACTAGAAATCACATTTTTGTCATTTACAATTGTAGCTGGCCCCAATATATAGAAAACAGGATTCCTGCATAGTGAATAGAAAGATTCATTGGGCAGCAACTGTTATCCCCTAACATCAAGTTAAAAGAATATGAAACTCACCCGTTGTCCAAACATTATTGTGCTACTGGTCTCTGCATGATATCGTGCAGATGGTCCAATTGTTATGATCAGTGAGGTCCTCGCTGAACCTATTTGCTCAAAGCCAATAACCAGAATTTCACACTTTGTCCAGCAAATCGAAAAATAATACAAGGTTGCAGGTAAGCTTATATCCAATCAGAACTACTGGGGAATCGCGGAAATTGGTAAACTAACCCCCAAAAGAATCACGAAGAAGTCTAGTCAGCTTAGAATCTCTTGTTGGTATATGAGCACTTCCTTCTGCCAATGCATTTATGCATTTGCCAAGGGAAGTCAATGAAAGATTAATGAATTTAGCCTCCTCAATCAAGTGGCCTTCGGTGCCTGCAAAACATATGGCAAAATTCAACATGAACTGCTTATGGCCTTTTTTGGAAATACCAATCTTTTCCATTATAAAATGATATCCACCTTTTTTGGTTATTAAGGAGTCAGTCATCCTAACATTAGGATTCATTTCTTGTCACACTAAGTGATGAAATGGTAGACACGAGAGACTGTTCCAGTCTCAAAATAATGCATATATCTGATCTATCTAATATTGGGTTGAATAAGGTCACTCGAAGATTTCAGGGGATGGATAGAGATGAAAGAGCAGATCGATCTAGCTAAATATACTTGGCCAGAAATAAATGCATCAAAATACAAAGTTAAAAGAAAATCTGCACGAGAGTTCATTAGGTAAAGGACATCCAACAAACCAGATTTATCTATTCTTTCAGACCCAGCAAGATCCACAATTAGCAGCTTGCTCTTTCGAACTCTGGGAATGCCTTTATCTCCTGGCAGTTCAGCTTTTGTCTCTTTATCGCGAGATTTCATTCCCTCTGCAGCCTTATCATGCATCGTCCGCCTAACGTAAACCTGTTCAAGAAGAAATTTTCCATTAACCAACATAAATAGCGCATACATTCTTCACTCTTTGATGAACAAGAAACACTATGAATCAAAATATCTCAGGAAACCCACCATAAGAATTGCATGACTACGTGAGGATTCTGTATTTAGCTTTGTGTTAGCTGCATGACGGTTTGTCTCACCGACTTGCAAAACCTGCAAGAAGTGATCTAAATCTTGGATTCTAACGACTGTAGCGCTTGGTACTGACACTTCCCCAGTCTTTGGATCTTCATTTATTGAAATGTTGTTTTTCTCAGGTGCAAGAAGATCGTGTATAGATTCCATATATAGCTGTGGAGAAAAAGAACAGACATTAAAATGTTAAGGGTAAAAGACAACATGGAATTGTAACTATGTGCTAGATAACCTCAAGAATCATTTCAAAATTCACTAGGTGTCCTTCATTCACTCTTCAGATTCAACATTAACCACTCTCTACAGAACTAAATGATAATAAAGACTTGCATACAAATATGCAAGAAACGGCATATTATCCATGACCATTTGGGGAAACAGAAAATCCTTAACTAGCATTCACCACATTAGGCAGATAGAGGCCTCCGGGTAGCATACCTGCAAATAAGAGATCTCCACACTATCAGAAGCAGAAGATGTGCTTGAAATTATGTCCTCCAGAGCTCTAACCATAATACCACGCTCGGCAGTATCATCTCTGCCGATTCTTCCAACAGTGTAAGTTTTACCTGTACCAGTTTGACCGTAAGCCATAACTGTGCCATTGTATCCACTCAAAACACCCTGCAGACCAAGTGTAGTGGACAATTGAGCAGAAATTTGGTAAACTTGGATAAGCCAAAAATGTATTCTCACCATTACGATATAATCTAAATTCACAATAAGCTGACCTCAACTACGGGCTTTGCTACACCTTCGTAGACACGCTTCTGCGAAGCAGTTTCTGAAAAGACTTCGTCAAATCTGTAGGATTCGGAACTCCAGTTGTTTTTCCTCAACTTAAGCCGCTTTATCTGCGTGGGGAAAACATTGTGTAATGACCTAAAATGCCTTGATCTTAATGGTAACCATCATAGAGAGATGGGGGAACGAAAGCGATTTTTAGTTACTTAAGCACACACCTCTGGCTGCAATTCAACAAAATCAGCAAAGTCGGCATCCGAGAGAAGCTCCTCCGCATTTCGGGGTCGAACCCTTACAGCAACTCTCACCCTCCCAGGATCTGAAGAAATCATTTGAATTGAAACAACTATTACAAAATACTCTTCGATCAAAGTACATTTACGTTCTAAATCAATATGTTTCTCATACAAACACCGATAACTGTACGCTTTTTATGAACGTTTAGAACATTCAAATCGTTCAAATGAAAAAACACAAAATCAAGCAATTCAAATCGTAGAACGGTATCTAGGAGTACACGGATCAAACAGCACTCTAAATGAGATATTCACCAAAAAGCTTGCTGCTTTTCCAAGGAGTTTTTTCGATCCTTAACAAGGGTACGTCCATTGGGAAAGTTCAACAAATCCAATCTCAAACCGCAAAATCTGGTTGTAGCGGATAACCAAACTTCAAGGATTATGCATTTTATGCAAACCTAAGAACAAATTCAAAACCAATGCGACTAAAAACCCAACAAATCAAATTCAGGTCGAATGAAATCAACAAATATCCCGAGCATTTCTCCGATTCCAAGCAAAAACCACGAAATCAACAGTAGCATTATTCCAAAGAGAGCTACTGGGCAATGAATTTCACTGTATAGTCACACGGATGCAAGTGAATGTGTGTATGTATAGAGAGAGAATTGGATAAGCTAAGGGAGAGACCATTGTCGTCATCGAAGTCTTTTGACTGGGAGCGACGGACGGGGGTTTTGGACCGCCGTGTCGAGACGACGGCGGCGGAGGAAGAGGAAGAAGAGGAGGAGGAGGGACGGTCCTTAGGGCGAGAAGAGTGGTTTCCTCCGCCGCCGACAACGCCGGAGCTCCTCGAAGACGGCAAGTTCAGGGAAGAAAAAGAGAGAGAAGCGGCGTGATTGCTCGGCGGCAACTGCTGCTGAATCCTCTCCGCCGCGGATTTCGCCGACGATCGCACCGTGGAAGAAGCTGAAGAAGTCATGGCGAAGCCACAGATGGGGAGAGAGCGTGTGAGGAGAAAACTTCAAAGGAGATTTCGAATTTTAGAGAGAGAGAGAGGGAGGAAGAAGAGAATAAGAAAGAGGGAAGCACGACAGTAAGAAAATGGGTTCCCGCGTTCGTGGGAAAGTGGGTGACGTTAGGACGGCTCATTTAAGTTTTGTGTTGCCCTGTCTTTTTATCATTCCCCCCTTTCCTTCTTTACTCTTTTTTTTTTTCTCTTAATTTATTTAGTTTTTGCCAAAATTTCAACCCAAAAAAAATATAATTTTTTTTTAGTAGAATGTGTTGTGTCAATGCACTCAGGAGAAAAGGATTTGTACTTTCTAAATGTAAAAGGAAAAAAAAATCATATTGAATTATATATGACTCTAATGCAAGGCAATATAATCCATTAGAAATATAAAAATAAATCAAATTAATATTATATATTTCGTTCTGGATCACTTTTTAATCATTTTCGTTCTAACATAATAACATTACAATCGCTTAAAAACTTTATCCTAAATCACTTTTTATCTAATTTTATTGCAATTATACTATAAACGAGTTTATATGCGTGTAAAAGTTAATTTTCATAGTATTATAAATTTTTTCTTTGTAAAATAAATTAATAAAACTCTGATTGGATATAACAATATTTTAGAACAAAATATCAATGTTAACAAAATTAAACCTATGAAATGAATTCTCAAACGATTTATTCAAAATATATAGATTATGTATAATAGTATTAGTTAGTCAATCATACTTCTATAGTTCTAAATTAAAATAGGATACAAAAAGATTATCCGAATATTTTTAAGACATGTGAATTTGTATTTGAATTTTGAGTACCTTTAACATTAACCATATCCATTCAGCTTAGATACTCGGATTCGAATTCAAATTCTATTAGAGAGAAAATACAATTTTATAATTTAATAAACATGCAGTTTCTACGAAAAATCATGGTAATTCTATAATTTTAAAAAAAAAATGAATAATTCCTTAATTTTTTATAAGTGTAAAAATAGTTTTGTAATTATAAATAGTAAAATTCAGAAACTGAAATCGAATCCAATGCACTGGACTCCGACTCCGGATATGTGAAACAAAATGTAAAACCGAATGAATCGGAGGATAGGATATCGAAAATAGAGTTAATTTAATTTTTTTTTTACAATTATTATTGATATGTTCCTTCTCTCAATTATGGTAGGTTAAAGGAACAGTGGATGTTTGTCCGTATTACGACAGTACGGTAAGTTTTTTTTTTTTTTTTTTTTTTTTTTTT